ATTTTGATACAGAATAAAAAATCTGCACATCTGAAACACTAACAACTGCTACATGCCAAAATTTCATCATAGGGTACCAAACCCTGGTCCTTAAAAGGCCACAATCTTACAGGTTTAATAGGTCTCTTTAAATCTTCAGTTTATTCAGAACAAGGTAAGGCTTCACCTACAATTAAATTCAGTTCAATTAAGCAAATATCAAATTCAACTAAGTAAGGGCAAGGGATCCGAATCAAAAGAATGATTTAAAGTGGGGGCTTATTTTGAAGTAATAAATTCAAGTGTAGCATTACTTACAATCAATCGTGTTTAACCGTATGTTTCACATTGTTTGACAAAATCCCCCCAAATCAGTTATTTTCAGTTTAAAAATGTTGAAGTAATTTTTTTTTTTAATTCTGCCACTTTCAGATACAGCCCCAAAACGCAAACATCTTTCTGAGTTCTGTTCACAAAGTACTTTTCTCTCAAACATCAAAACACAAACTTGATACTGTCACTCATGGTGACTACACCTACAGAAAAGGCTGTAAGTGGAGTAGCTGAAAAGATTTACTACTTCTTTTGCTCCTTCTGCTCTTAATCTAATATTTTACAGTGTACAAAACATTTTACTCCTTTACCAACAGACTTCGGGATAGAAGGGCTTCTGAACCTTCGACAACATAAGTCCATTTAAAAATCACCTAAACCTAATCCATCACCAATTTGTAAAATAATTTCCCCTTTTGGCTTACACTTAAAAACTCAATGTAACTAAGGATTAAACACATTGTAACTGCTTGCAATTTTGGACGAACAATCAAGTGCCAGTGACTGCAAACTGACTTACCCATTGGGAAACTTTGGGTTCTTCCTATTTAATAGTTCAATCTTATAGCACAAAAGAAGTTTTTATGCTGTTCCTACTAATTATCGATGAGCACATTCAGATGCAAGTTGGTATTTTTACTTTAAAAACAGCAATGTTTAACTCCCAAAGATCAAGTACACATTTCAATCATCCATTCCTTAAAAGAATATTTTTAAAAAGTAAATTACACTGAACTATATTGGGTAGTGCTGTACTGACTTATAAATCAAACAACAAAGTTCAGATAAATGTGTTCCTATATATAGCTATATGAGTATCAAAGTTCTACTTGTTTAGATATTCAAGCCTGTAAGTAGATGTGCAAGTACAGTTTCTCCTGCTGGATGTGCAGAGTGTTCCTTCACTAACCCTAAATCAAGAAAACCCAAAAACAAAAATGTACCAAAATATGCTTAAAAACAAACTACAGATATTTATGAGCAC